AAACATTGTTGCACATGGTGGTTTTAAACAACATTTGACACTTTTCTTCATAGAATAAAAGCCATTCATAACAGTTGTGCTATTTCAAGGTTTGAATTATGTGAGTCTGAATTAGTATGATGCAAATATGGTAAAATTTCACTTCAGGTACAAAATTTGAAATAGGGCTAATCCTTTGCTCTAAATCAGCAAGAATCACTTAAGTAACTGTAAACACTACTATTGCCACATGGTGGCACATTTTAACTGAAAAAAAAAACATTCAGCCATCCATGGTTGGAACAAATGTCAAATGAGGAGAGATTTTAAAAGATCTTCACCAAAACACATAACTTTATAATATCAACTCCTAGTGGTAATCACTTACCTCTGTGTGCTCCTTTGGCTTTCCTTCTTGGGATTTTTTTCTCATGACCACTGGGGGCTGTTAATTTCAAATAATTAAAAACTCAATTATATTAGAATCCATTGTTTTTCACATGTCCAAATAAGCTCAAGAATAAAATTTCAATTAAATCATTCTGTCTCAGGAAAAGCTCACTTTAGCCAAGTTCTTTGGAATCAACATAGACATGTATAGTCTGGTCACAGTAACCCTACCACACCTCCAGTAGTAGTGATTATCAGAAAAACAGTGAAAATTGAATATTTCACCTAAAAAGAAAATGTTTTCAAATATATATATTTCTGCTTTTCACAATCAAGATAAATTAGTAACTGCAAGTCTATCTACAGAACATCAAATGAACAAGGGAAACACTGAGTCACCTGTTGAACAGCAATTCCACCTCTAGAAATTAAGTTTTTTAGCTTTCTTTCATAGGAGACGAAAGAATTCTGTAATATCAATTAATTGATTTTTTCAAAGTTTTTTCTTTATTATAATTAGAGAAGATCATATCACCAGAGACCTAATTCCTTGAAATTTGATAGATAACCAAAAACATTTAGATGTAGAATAGGCAACTTCTATCTAGCTGCTTATTCTTCACTCTGAATTCACAATGCAAACTGCCATCTACAGGAGCCTTCAAAAATCAAGTAAGTCTCACCTTTCCCTCCATGATCTCACTCTCATTTCTTAAAGTACTTTAAGCTCTCTGTGCCTTCCAGCATAAATCTTGTGGTCTTATCCCACTCAAGTGTTTGAAAAAATAAAGTACAGCACTTTATTAATGAGAAAGATTTGCAACTGGTGCAGACACCCTGGGACTCACCTCCATGTGGAGGCAGAAGAGCTTTCAGTCTGGACAGCCATGAGTCAGAATGGGGAGCCACTCCCAAGGGAAAGGCTCCTGAGTAACTAAAAAACCAGCTCAACCAACACAGGTAAGACTCGCCAATACTGGCCCAACTCTCATTTCTTAAATATCTCCATGCCATGTTCACAGACACAATTATTCCTGATGTCTCATTGAAACTATATTGGATACTACCATTTGTCTTTTCTATTTTGTTTCCTGTTGTTTTATTTTTTGAGTAGTTATTTCATTTAAAAATATATTTTTGAATTTAATTGCCTTCTGAAACATACTGTTTGTCTATAAAAATATTTACATATTCTTTAAAATTATATGGATTTAATGCTGTAAATATTTTATGTATAACCTATATCATTTATGTAGGGTAATATTTTTGAAAGTGAAATAAATAAATATATATTTAATTAGAGATAAGGGCAAAATAGTTTCTGCCAGGTATCAAGGGGGTGGGGGGAGAGGGAGGGGTAGGGTGGTGGTAAGGAAGGGGTGGGGGAGGGGGGGAGAAATTACCCAAACATTGTATGCAGATATGAATAAAATAAATAAATATATATATATATTTAATTAACTTCATATATAATTTGTTATTCATTATTGTAAAAAAGATTTGAATAACTCACTAGCAAACTTATGCCATTTACCTAGCTTGATTGTGGCTTCTTCTCAGGCTCTGTTTTCAAGCATAAATACAGAAGAATGAAAGGAAAAAAAAAGAGAAAGACAGGGAGGGAGGGGGAGAGAGGGAGAAGAAAGAGATAAAGACAAGAAAAAAGAAAACAGAGAAAGAACAGAGGAAACAGAGAAAGAAACAGACAGAAAGAACAAAAAGAAAAAAGAAAAGAACAAAAAAAGGGAGAGAAAGAAAGAGGGAGGGGACAGAGGGAAAAGAGGGAAAAGGGAAGAAATAGAAATGGAATAGTTTATCAAGATTATAGTAGATGCTCTTTAACTAAGTAAGTTCAAAATGATTTTGGAGGTTATAAATATAAAATTTATTATTAAAATTTATTATCTCTTCTTGAAAACTGTAACTCTTTAGATAACCACTTAACCACACTAAATAATATTCGTTCTTATGATTCACATGATAATTTACATCTTATTTCTTACTATTTATATCAAAGATATGTAAGGTTACTACTAACATTGTAGCAAATACAATAAGCAGAATAAAATAAAACTCTTCATCTTTCAAAGCTAAGGATACCATTTTCAAAGTCACTTACCTTATCTTTTTACCAATGGAAATCTTACCACAGGTTTTGGTTAAAAGTGTGAAACGACGGCGTAATGAAAGACTTGGGGCACAGAAAGCAGTGGATTATTTTTAGTGCTGTAAAGTGGACTGAATGGGTAGTTAGGCTTGAGAAAGATGGTGATGGAGTCAGAGCATCGCAGGAGATTATGACCTGGATTGTTAGCATGTGCTGAGCGCTGAAGTGACCGTTAGTAAACAGTGATGCCTCTGTGCAAGGAACTATTTCACCTGTTTTGTGTGTTTTCTTGTGAGGAGGAATGGGGTCCTTCCATCTTTTTGCTGATTGGAATTGCCTAATATAAGAGCACAGCCCAAGTCTAATTTAATTTTATCTGACAGTCAAATAAGTACATTTAATACAAAGGCTTAAAATGTTCATATCAATATCCATTCTACTTATCTAACACATCTACTCACTGCATGCATATAGATATAGATCTCAAAGAAGATTTGGACATATGAACTCTAAGATCCCAAGCCAATATTTCAGTTTGCATTTGTATTTTAGTAAAGGTTTCCTTTTCTTTTCATTTCCTTTCCTTCTCTGTGTAAAGGCTGTCTGAGCAAATATTTTTTCTGTCGTTATTTCCAGTGTTTGTTCTACAAACTCATAAAAATAAGTAAGTCATAGGTATTGTCATAAGTTTGTCTGAATTACTGTCAACATATTTTAAATATTTTTAAATACTTTGTGCATTCTTTATTGTACCTGTCATGGTCCTTATATGTCGAGATTTAATCTAATGTTCTAATATTGTTTCTGAATAACTGTTGCAATTTAGGCACCTTTAGTGTGGTGTTTGTTTCATAGATTTTTTAAAGGTTACTTGTAGAAAAAAAGATAACTCAATAAATACATTCATCCATTTTTGATGAGGTAAGATATGAAATTTGATTAATGTTTTATTAACTTTTCAAGAGATTACAAATGGGTCTTAATGTTTCCTGCTATTTCTCCTCTTGACTATTTGATGCATCACTGGAAAGGTCTGTTTTTTATTTTATTATCTGAAGAAAACTAAAGTCAAATATCTCCTAAATTTATCTTATCTTCAGTACTGAAAGTATATGCTTCCTTACACAATGACCTTGGGTTGTACCAATACACTTATTGCTTGGGAAGAAATCAAAGTTCATGATCAAAGAAATGTTTTTAAAGAAATTTTAAATTTGGGATCCTTTCACAATGCATCCTTCCTTGCTAATGCAGTTCTGCTTATACAACTCAGTTTAAGCATCCTTTTTTTAAAAATTTATACAAATGTAATTTATTAAATGATTAACAAAGAAAATAAGCCAGTTGGTATTGTAGTGATTTGAATCTATTAATAGCTTCCAGTTTGTCATTTAGTGATCAAGACTTTGTATGGGAGAATTCGCAGTACAGTTAAGAATGTATAGTCATAGATATAGGAGCTTATAATGCAATGTGCATTTAAATCAGTAATCATGAGTTTATTGCTGGTAGTGGTGATGCTGAACATAATAGCAACCAAAGTGATAAATAATTTCAGTGTTTATCAATCATTTCCAGGTACCAGGGCATGCGCTCTAAGCCTTTACCTATGTCAACTCACTTCGTACTTATAATAACCTGATGAGACAGGTATTTTCATTCTACCTATTTTTCAGATGGGAATTGAGGTTAAAGAAGTTAAATAACCCCCAAGGACACCTGAGATGGAGCTGGACTTGTATCCTCTCAGTCACAACGCTGCACTGCTCTCCTGTATTGGCCAACAGTTAACTCATGCTGGGCATTAGCTAGTGGACAGGCATTGTTCAATATATGCTTCTTTCCTTTTGCAGTCTTCTCAAATGGGCACTATTACCATTTTCCTTCAGATTGTGCAAATAAACCAAAGCAAAGAGAGGTTGTCTAATATCACATCTGGTGGAGAAACAGGCTTCCGAGCCATGCCACCTGGCTCCAGTGACCATGTTACACAATCTCTCAAGGATTTCATCCTGATTAGAAATGGTTTGACCCCTATACTCAACAGTGTGAACACCAATTCTAACGTGCCAAGGCAAGAGATAAAGAACATAGACCTAGTCATATCATCCCTCTTCAGACATAGACTGAGTTTTTTAAAGATGTAGAATAAGACAAGGATTTAGTGTAAGTATTTTCTTGAATGAGCACTTTTACTCTAAAAGTTCAAAGTATTTGGAGACAGAAACTTATCAAGTTCAATCTGACAAACATCTCCAAGAGGAGGCTGGTGCAACTGCCATGAGTCAAACACCAGAAGCATATGAAGATAAGACAATTAGTGAGCATAGTGTCATTGAAATACACCAAGGAAGCTGAGCCAAAGTGGTCCCAAGGCAGTGGTGGCACTTCATTGTTGCATCTTGTTTTTGTCTCTCCTGTCTTCTGACATCTACTCTCCTCCCTTCCCCCACTTTCATTAGACTACCAAGGATTCTCAAGATTTAATGTTTCATGATGCCTGAAGTTTGCTGACACATGCTCCAGAAATAGGGCACACTTGAAATAAACACTGGCTCTCTGAGACACAGGGATTAGAATCAGGCAGTAGGCTTACAAGTGAAGTAATACAAAGAAAAGTAAATCCTGTACTTATGGCTCTCCTTTCTTCCTCCTTTCTTTAGTTTTTATGGATTGTAAATTTGATGAGAATTTTTTAGATGCTTCTCCTTTAGTATTTTAAGATTATTTTAAGATTGATAGGATTTGGGAGTGGGAGGCATGGGGCCCTAGCACCAATCACAAATTTTTTAAAAAAAATTTTAAGTTAAGCTTGCTATAAGTAGAAGTGAGAGCTTAATAGGTTACTCACAGATCATATAATGTATATTTTAATATAAGTAAGAAACCAATCTAAGTGTAAAATATTAAAGTCTAGATTAAATATGCTTAAAAATAAAATGAATGCTAAATGGCATTTAAAGATCTTACATAAATACAGGCAGATATTTGCAATGCTTTAGTTCAAGATAAGACCACAGCATCCCTGGTGGCACTAACTCATGCTGCCACATCCCCTGGGATAGGAAACAACTGAGACAGCACAGTAATATGGAAGACAGAAAGTCAACAAGGCAATTTACTGACAATGGATCTGGAGTAGCTCTCATAAGAATGAGTTGTGAGCAGTTTGAAAATGTCCCCTCTTCAACCCTCACTGGTATATTCTAGGAAACAGCATGAGACACAGTAACTAAGGGACAGGACTATGGTAACTTTAGGCAATTCTCAGAAACAGGCTTACCCTATGTAACAACTGCACTGGACAACATTCTTTTATTTCTAATTCTGAAATTCCAAGAAATAATTATAAGAATAAATTACAAATAGAGCTCAGCAAAGGTTTGTCAATAGGAAATATTCGCCATGACTCAAGTTTCAGAAAATAATTGAAGTAACCAGTACCTGTTTCCTTTGTTTCTATGTCACTTAATGTAACCTTTCTCATTTTAAAATGCACATCAAAATATCAGAACCATTTTTAGTAGGATGTTTAGAATCTATATTCGTATTTAGGTCCAGAGAAATGTATTTGGAGAAATTATCTTCATTTCAAAAACTTAATCACAAAAACAAAAGCAAAAACAAACAAACAAAAGGAAACTCCAGGTAACTCCTTTTTCTAGATATTCTAGAACAATGTCTATATATGAGTTCAAGGTAAATATTAGAAGAACTGAATTTCCAAAGGCCTCTTTAAGTTAGGAAGAAAGTGTTTACTTCCATAATGTAATCTTCCTAAGACATAACTTGTCTGTCAACAATTATTTTGCCTTTGATTTGCTCACAAATCAAACTACAATATAACTGATTTAAAGTGGCATTCACCCAACTTGACTCTTAAGGTCCTTTGTACCTTGGTTCCTGTGGTATTCATACTAGAAGACTTGCCAGTTGCACCAGAGGAGGCAGACACCTATAGAGGAAAGAAAAGAAAGTTTGATTCGATTCAACCTACAATCTGAATTATCCCCAGCTCCTCTCAACCCATTGTCCATAACTCTTTACTTTGATTTCTACCTAGTTTGCAACATCATACCCATAAAAACTACAGTAGGTGGTGTTGCCCAGAAGGTAAAAGTCTTTATACACAGATGAAATGGGTTCAAATTTTGGGTCTGTTTATTTACCAAATAATATTGGCAACTTACTTTCCTTGTCTCTAGTTTCCTATCCTCAATTTTACTTCAATAGATAACAGCTACCTTATAAGTTTATTGTAATAATTACTGTTCTGTGGTACAGAACACAGTTATAATATGGTAAACCATATTATAACTACACTTAATATTATTTCTAGAAAGAACATGGACTTTGAAACTTGAAAGAACTTTGTTCAAATCCCAGCTGTGTCACCTGGATCTGTGGCTTTAAACATTACATAATATAAAATGGGCTAATGCTGTCTATTTTGCAGGTTTGTAAACATTTCCAATGATTGTAAAATCTCTGACATATCATAAATGTTCACATTTACTAACACATTATTCCTAATATATTATGGAAAATAAAAGGAACAAGAACAGTACTTGGATACATGGAAATCATCCTTTCTGTATTATGTAATAAAGAGAAGATGGCAGGTAGGATTGCTGAGAGAATTTTGCTGCATTACCCTTCTCACCTAGGCCCTTCCTCAGAAGGTACGAGGTAGAAATGGCAGCTGAAGTACTCAAGAAACATCCTTTTTAAGGATGTATCTTGGTAGAGGAGCCCTGCAAGCAAATCACCTAAGTAGTGAGTGACACCTGAGCAGGCGGATACATGCTTGGTTTTGAGTACTATTCTAGTACTGAGCTTGTATTACACTGGTTAATATTAAATAGGTAATCATCATCTTGGCAAATTCCAACCCAGGCTCACTTGAACCTCCTGAACATTTGAGTCCGTCAGGCTCTAGAGCCCAGGGATTCCATCTGGCACAAGCTGCTTCTTAAGCAACTGGCTGTCAGTAAACAGCTGTTGCCCTGCCAGCAATATTTGGGAAAGTCTATAATTCAAACTTTACTCTGTCTCTAATGCCTAGTCATGAACTGCTTCAGAGGCTGAGTCAGGCAGCATGAGCCTGTCCCTGCTCCTCCCTTACCTTCTCCCACCCTCAACATAAACCACTCGATAATAGTATGAACCCACTGTAACCTACAGCCCATGACCAAAATCACCTTCCCATCAGACCTCGAGTAAAATTTGTGGGGGGTAAAAGTGCCCATACTTATATAATTCTGGTTTTTGTACATAATTAGAATTGGTTGTACAAATTTCCATTCAAGTTCATGAAGTTCCATTTTGCTGCATCTCATTCCCTCAATAATTTTCCTCAACCACATAAAACTACCCTAGGAACCAAACAGCTCATAAGGAAGTGCTTTTTAAGGTGAAAATCTTTAGGCAAATATTTATTTTTTAAACATCCAGTTTATTAAAAACATTCAAAACACACATAACCTTGAATTATTCAACCTGCCTTACTACTTTATTAAATAATATCTGGAAGTGAGCTCAAATCCTTGAAAAGAGAGGACTTTCAAAGGCTCACCAAGAATAGTAAAATCTCTACATGGATCAGCTAGAAAAAAGCATGGAGCAGGCTAGCATAGGAATTTAGCAAAAGGCCTTGGCCCCACCTGCTCTCAGCATAGATTCCTCCATGACAGTTACATCCCTTCACTAAAAAGCATGAAGTGTCTTGAAATTGAAATATGGAAGCTGGTCCATGGGACTGGAAACAAGGGAAATGACCCCATCCCATTGTTAACCGATTCAACTCTGGATTATTGTAGCTCATTCAATTTTATTCTGTAGGTGCAGACAAGTAGTTTTTAATATTTATTGCACTGGGTGAAGGACTGGATATATTTTAAATTCTATTGTACTGTTTGAATTGCTATCATGGGTGTGAATAACTATTATAATAAAAATTGTGAAAAGTTAATCCAAAGATCTTTGAAGAGAAAGAACGTCTTCAGTAACATTGTTAATGGCTAATATACAGGTTTTAAACAGATAAGGAAACTGGAATCTAATGTACAGGGTCCACCACAGTCCACTGGCTTCCTCAAGTGTTTATCCAGAATACTGTTTGTGCCAGGTACAGTGTTAAGTGCTGGGACACTGGTGAAACCAACAGACATGTTCCTGCCCTTGCGAAAGTTACAGCCTAAATAATCCCTTCAACAATTACTTGCTACAAAAGGAAATCACAGAGTCCCATGAGAACTCAGACTAGGAACTAAAGCTGGCTCAGGGGACAGCTGAGACAGGGGATGCTGAGGATGTGACAAGCTGTGTGGTGACTAAGGACAAGGGGGCATCACCTAGGCAAAAGGCTGGGAGGAGCATTCCACGCATGAGGATCCTCTGAGTGGACAGCACTAGAACCAAGGCCACCTGATTTCCAAACCAGTGGCCCTCTATTGCAGTGCCTATTGCTCAGATAGTCCTAAGGACATCAAGGGACTGCCACTTTTTAACACACAACCATCTATGCTCAGATAGACCAAAATACCTCTATGGGAATAACACTATAGGTAGCACCAAAGTGCAGCTACGATACTTTCCTTTCCAAATGGTCCTTACAAATTTCTTTCTTTCTTTCTTTCTTTTTTTTTTTGGTGGTACTGGTTTGAACCCAGGGCCTTATGTTTTCTAGGCAGGCACTCTACCACTTGAGCCACTCTACCAGCCCCAACAAATTTCTTAATATTCAGAGTTACAGCAATCATTTACAAATTTGAATTAAGGGATAAATTAGAATAACAAGAAGCAGAGAAATATTTCCTTAATAAAAATCATTCTCCACTCATCCATTCAACAGTCATCTAAAAAGTATGAGGTAGAATTTGAGGGCACACAATGAATATACAAGATACAACCATGGCCTTGGAAGAGTTGAGTCCTGTGAGATAAACAGACATCAAGTAGTTTACATTACAATTTAAGTGCTCTAGCCATGTGAAGAGGTCTCCCACATGACAAAATAAATGTTTTAGTTCTAACTTAGTTTCAGGCCCATCTCAAACAATCTTCCTATACTTCCAAGTTGCATTAAAATAAACCAATACTGAGAAGAACTTAGTTGCAGTCTAGAAAAAAATGAACATTTAATCTTATGCTTAACCAATGATACCTTATGTTCTGGCATTATTCAACAAAATCTCTTCAGATATGCTTACTCACTACTGTAAGAATTTTAGTCCACCACAATGAAGAATTGGAGATATAAGAGGAAGATGACCTGCTGTCAAGATCCTTGGAAAATAGAAATGGTTTTCTTTTCTTTCTTTTTTTTCAGCACTGAGGTTTGAACTCAGGGCTTCATGCTTGGTAGGCAGGTGCTCTTACCTCTTGAGCCATTCCACCAGCCTCTTTCTGTGATGGCTTTTTTTGAGACAGGGTCTCTCAAACTGTTTGCCCAGGGCTGGCTTTGAACCATGATCCTCTTGATTTCTGCCTCCTCACTAGCCAGGATTACAGGCATGAGCCACCAGTGCCTAATGGAAATGGCTTTCTTTTTTTTGGCACATATTTCCCTCAGGACTCCCAGACTCCAGACTTAGCTCTCTTATCCATTCTGGCTGGATAATTCTTATTTCTTGCGCTCTTAGACACATATCTCCCCCTTAAGTAGAACAGCAATTACTGCTGCTGCCTACACAGAAAACACAGAAATCCTCGTATCGTTAAAATCTCTTTCATAAATTTCAACCTCATCTCCCAACGCATTGGAACCTCTATTCCAGACAGACAGATAACTCATCCAACCCCAGACACAGCGCACTTGCCTCTCCCTTTATACTTTTCCTATGATTGTTACTGTTGGTGTGCTTCTCTCCCAAAATATCCAAATCCTATGTATCTTTTCTTTAAAGTGTATCTTTCTGGCTCCCAGTTGTGGCATTGTAACTTCTGCACCATTGCAGTCAGTCTCACCGTGCATCCTCCTTTCCTATCCCAGTTCACTTCCCTGTAACACCATGTAGAGGAGGTGATAATATAATTGTGCTATGAATGAGCTCCTCCACCAGACCGGACCCTGTTAAAGAGAGCTGACTGGTGGGTGCACTAAGGAACATGCTAACCTCCGTTCTTACCCACCACATCTCTATCCAGGGCTTTACCTTGATCATGTGGGTGTCTAGTGAGGCTGCATGAGAAGAAAAGCAAGACCTAGAACCATCCTTAACTACCCTGCAAAACTGCATTGGAGTTGAGATGGTTCTGAGCTCTCTCGAAGGTCCTGGTAAATGTGTCCAGGTGTGTGGGGGGTGGTTTGGGCTTCTGTAGCCAGGGTGGGTTCCTAGAACATTTACTCATCTGTCCTACTGCCGTTAAATCCAGATGATTGAAAAATCATTCCCTCAGCTCCTTATTTCTCTGTCTACCACAGAATATAGTCCCTTCTCTTCTTGTGTGGCTCCCAAAAGGCTCAGCTTTTTCCAGGCATTTCCCGATGGCTTATGGGCACCTCACTACCTCCCCTCCAGCCATTCAGCCTCACCTTGATCTCAACCCTTGTCCTCAGCTAGCTTGGTTGAGGAAGTGCACACAGAGAGGAGAACAGCAGATGTGTCAAGTTTTTTTCTCCTAATGCCAAACCTTGCTTCCTTTCCCCGTGCCACCACTGGCAACATTTCCATATCCTCCCACACATACTAATCACCCTTATGCACCTGGATCTGTCTGTTTATTGAGGGTTACTAAGAACATCAGGCTTCAAGCATCTGCTCTCTTTATCCACTTGCTAGTCCATCACAGCTTCACTGTGAATCAGTGACCATTCTCTATTTGGCTGTTCTCAATAGGAGCCTCATACTTCTGATCTGCTTCCTTCTGGAAGCTTCTTTACCTACCTCATTCTTCTTTGTGATCTTTAATATTCACCCATAAGCCTTTTCAGTCACCCTGCCTTTTCTCTTA